CTTGAGGCTTTGGGGGGACACACAGATTCAAACCATAACAGAGAGCTTCTCAGCAGGGCTTACCTGTTGCTTCTGTGTTATCGTAGCCCTCAAAGAAAAGAGTAGCAGCTGCTTGAGGAGCTGCATCACATTCTCATGCTGTCAGCAGGCTCCTTTCTCCCTGCAGGAGTTTCTCCAGGGCATGGAGACTTCTGCAGAGAGACGCAAAGCTGTAGACTCATCCAAAGGATGAGGGCACACTCGCTGAGTCGGGCACCTGTCCTTCGGGGCCCATTCTGATTCCGCGACAGCTGTGCGACACTCACCCTGCTCTGCCTCCGGTCCTGCCCTGCCTCGCTTCTGTTCCCCGACACTCACCACCCTGGGATTGAGCCTCCCACAATATCCAGGTTCTGAATCCTTCCTAGGGTCTTGGTTAGCACGTATGCCCAGGAGCAGGGACGCACGCACAAGGCAAAGTGCTATAAAACTGTGTGCACCTTATGTTTTTTGACATGATCCCTACAGCACCCACACCTCATTCCCTCATTTTAAAAGCGCCTTTGAGTCCCTCGGTTCCTGTTGCAGCCTCCAAGTAGCCATGCTGCGCGTGCCCAAGCCATCGCCAGCTCATCGTCACCGTGCCTCTGTCACGTTACATACACCGTCTTCTGCGTCTGGGGCCGGAGGAAGGGCTGCCTTATCCCTACAGGGGACAGGGAAGGGACTTCCGGATGGAGTCGCCAAACCCTAACTCTGGCTGTTCCAGGCTTGGGAGCCCCAGGTCTGCGTGCAGGAACCTCTGTTGGCAAAGGAGTCCACATCAGCTCCCCGTCAGCACGCTGTGAGAGCCGAGGGGCACACGGCTTCCCACTGGGCTGACGTGGCCTCCTTCTGCCGCAGTCTGAGAGGGCCGTTCCTCTGTCTGTGCAGTGGTCCAGTCAGGCTTGTAAACTAATCTCAAAGTGGAGCACCCTTTTCTTTCCTCATTGAAAATGTCAAAGACCATATTTTTCTCATTCAGAAAGCACTGAAAGACCTGCAAGTTTACTTGATAAAACCTATGGAAGGAGCTCATTTCAGAGTAAAACCCACACTCATTTGCAGCATAGGATGACCGGGGGTGCTCCCCCGCAGCACCCTGTCTGTGCCCGGCTACGGCCCGCACCTGCACGGTGTCCACACAGCGAGGGCCTCCCCGGGGCAGGGCCAGGCGTCCAGGCTGCTCCGGGCCGTCCTCTTGGGGCCTCCCTTTCTCCACATTCCCCGTGGCTCCTAGTTGGCCCCTGGGCTCCTCCGGGATCACCGAGCTCTTCTTCTTGCCTCCTTGCCCTGTCGGTTTCCAGCTGTCGGGATCCTAGGGCCCGCGGAGGCTGCGCTGTGCTGCTGGATCCCACTGTGCTGCCGGCTTCCGGGACGCAGGGTGGACGAGTCCTGCACGGATCCCCCTGGGAGCTCGGCGCTCTGCCAGCGTCCTGTTTTCCGTATTCTGCTTCTCCTCTCTTCCCACTCCCTGCCTTACTTTGTCATTAAGTAAGGGCATTTTGACTCCATTTTTTTCCATCGTGGGCTTGCTGGCTGTCTTTCAGAATTTCAATGACTAGAGTTTACAACATGCTCCTTTCTCGTAACATAACACACCTGGCCATCCAACAATGTGACAAAGCTGTGTTTGGGATCCTAGATTCAGAACGGGCCGCAGCTCCAAGAAGAACCATCGTTTTGGTTACTTTTCTCTTCCGGTGAGACAAAATACCTTGCGTCCAAAACTGAGGAAGGAAGGGTTTATTTCCTTACAGTTCATGGTGGTTTCAGTCCAAACTTGGCAGGTTAGGCACGTGGCAGAGGGCCACAGCTCATGGCCTCAGAACACAACAAAAGCAACAAGCACAGAAGGGAGGAGTGGCGGCAAGTGGCCTCTTCCTCTCCCTTACATATGCAAATTATCCACCCCAGGGCGGTGTAGCTCTCACACCCATAATCAATTAAACTCTAAAAACCTGCTTTGTGGGGGACACCCAGACACAAACCATAACAACCACCCATTGAATGCAGGGTGGCGGTTGGGGGAAGCTGAGTCCTGCAGAGGGGAAGAGACAGGGAGGCGGTGTGGGTCTCACGGCCAGAGATTTCACCGATCTTGACCCGCACCGAGATTCCCCGGGGGCCCTGGTCACCAAGGCTCTGCGGCGGTCAGGCTGAGGAAGGCGTCACAAGCTGGGAGGTCGGGGGTTGGCGCCCGCGGGAGAGGCTGTGGAGCTCCGTGCCCCCCAGTCCCCGCCCCTGTGAGCCCTCCGCATCACAGCACAGGGGGAGGACAGCAGCCTCCTGCTCTCTGGGAGTTCCTCCAGCGCACGAGGGAATGAGCTCCTTCCGGATTTTCCTCTTCTGACCTAGA